AAATTGTGCAAAGACGCAAAAGGAATTTTAATTCTCTATATTTGATCACATACTCTGGAGAAGACATTCAGCAATCTCTGTATTATTTTCACTGTGGACATGCCAATCACTTTAGGAATCGCTGTCTTAGACCATCTAAATGTTGGAACATTTCCCACAATGTGTAATTTGTTATAAACATGGACACTTAATTTTTCCCCCAAAGGTGCCCTCCAGGCCTTCAGTCTTGTCTTCTAATATTTTCCAAAATAGTCTTCCTTTTAACAACATGTATAGCCTCCTAATATTTACTGTTCTATCTTTATTTATTTGAATATTTGTTCAAGTGGAAAATTACTTTTAGGTCCCAAACTATCTCTTAAGGGAAAGCACTATAATTGGCAATGGATCAATCATGATGTCAGTCATATCAAACTTCAAATAGTTGTTCTACCTAAAGTGTCTGAAAACTTCAGCGGGTTCAAAAACGTAGCAACCAGATTGCTAACGGGCTGGTCAAAGGAATAACATACCCCACCCCCTGTTCGTTCGTTCGTTCATTTAGTCGTGTCCGACTCTTCGTGACCCCATGGACCAGAGCACGCCAGGCCCTCCTATCTTCCACTGCCTCCCAGAGTTGGGTCAGATTCATGTTGGTTGCTTCGGTGACACTGTCCAACCATCTCATCCTCTGTCGTCCCCTTCTCCTCTTGCCTTCACACTTTCCCGACATTAAGGTCTTTGCCAGGGAGTCCTCTCTTCTCATGAGATGGCCAAAGTATTGGAGCCTCAGCTTCAGGATCTGTCCTTCCAGTGCGCACTCAGGGTTGATTTCCTTTAGAATTGATAGGTTTGTTCTCCTTGCAGTCCAGGGGACTCTCAAGAGCCTCCTCCAGCACCACAATTCAAAGGCATCAATTCTTCGGCGGTCAGCTTTCTTTATGGTCCAGCTCTCACTTCCATACATCACGTCAGGCAAAACCATAGCTTTGACTATTCGGACTTTTGTTGGCAAGGTGATATCTCTGCTTTTACAGTAGCTCTACTGGCTGGCAAACCGTTTCCAAGCACAATTCAAAGTGCTAGTTCTAATATATAAAGACCTAAATGGCTTGGCTCCAACTTATCTCAAGGACTGTATCTCCCTTCATGAGCCTGCTCAGATGTTCAGATCATCAGGAGAGGCCTTTCTCTCAGTCCTGCCACCCTCACAAGTGAGTCTCATGAGGATATGGGAGGCAAGATTTTCTGTTGCTGCTCCCAAATTTTGGAACTCCCTCCCACAGGAAGCCTGGCTGGACCCATCTTTGCTGTCCTTCTACAAGCAGGTGAAAATATTTTTAATTAGGCCCTTAAAGCAATTATGCTGCCAATTCAGGTAGAATTATTCATTTCTACAATAAACAAGGGACCTTTGGCTCTCCAGACTATGGAACCCCCTCCCACAGGAAGCTTAGCTGGCCTCATCTTTGCTGTCCTTACATAGGCAAGGAAAGACTGTTCTCTTCAGGCAGGCTTTTCCTTAATGACTCATAGTCTGACAGGAGAACCCCAGGTCGTGAGCACAGTTTTAGCTGCAGTACAGCATTTTAACCACTGCGCCACGAGGCTGGTCCACTGCGCCATGAGGCTGGTAATACTTTAATACTTGTACTTACTGTTTTTAGCTTTTAAATACTGCTTTAATGACAAGCTGCCTTGTGTCCTCTTGGGGAGGAAAATGGAAAATAAACAAACAAACAACATCTGAGCTGCCTATAAAATTCAGTGAATTAGACAGGGCAGTGGCGTAATGAAAGTCTCACTAGTCACTCAGAATCTTTTTTCATCTCAGTTTAATTAGGATGTTTCAGTATGTAATGTTAATTTCTGGTAATACAAATATAGATTCCTCCAGTGTAAGATTATGAGGTGCAGCAGACACTTTAATGCCTTCACTCCAAGCCACCATGGTGTATCTTCTTCTCACTAGTAGATGTCAGAATTGTAGTAAAAACTGACAATAGATTCTGTAACTATGCAGCTTGTCTACTGTCAACATAACTAACACTATTATACTGTATATTGTTCCCTAAATGTACTTGGGAGAATGGTGCCACTAATTTTAGTTATGTTAATCTAAAATTTAAAACTTTTTCTCTATGGCGGGAGGGTTATATCAGCTGGGCAGAAGACCATTTTTCAGATTTGCCAGCACCTGAACAGCTGCATTCCTTGCAGGGGAGCCCTAAAAAGGGGGGGAGGATATGTATCCAGAGAAGCTAATTTGAATATAAATTGTTATTACCCTTTAAAAAGCTGTAACGGATTTTGTTAACTGAAAAATTGTTGTCTTACATACCCTCACTTGAACAATTTTAAAATTAAGGGGCACTAAATATTGAGGTATACTATGAGCCTTCAAAATATGGCAAAACCCCTCCCAATCTCAAGAAAATATAACTGCCTGAATTGCTCTTTAAACTGAATGACTTTGTTCACAATTCCTACATTTGCCAAAAAAAAAGCAAGCTACCTTGTATCCAAATACAGTACATCACACTGGTAAAGCTAGTAACACAAAACACACTGTTAAGATGCTCCAGAGGAAGAAAAGGAAATCTTGAGGAGCATGCCAAGCCACCATTGCTCCTAAGCCTCTAGACTTGTCTAGAGGAAAATCCTAACCCCATGAGATACACTTCTATACCCTTTGTTCTTTCAGATTTGAGTCAAGGAACTCTCAGACCTTACAACAGTAGTCCCCAGCTTTTTTGGGACCGTGGACCGGTTGGGGGGGGGTCTGGGCTCCGTGCGCGGAGAGGCATGTCATGCTCCCTTCCACAAGCGCAACACACCTACCCATAAGCACGACACGCCCACTGTGCTTGCATGGGGGGACGGGAGATCTGTCTCCCCAGCCCAGTTCCAGAAAGCCCACGGACTGGCGTTGGGCTGCGGACAGGGGATTGGGGACCCCTGCCTTACAATACATACTTAAGAAAGAAGAGGTAACTATTTCCACTGTTCCATGGATCTTAGGGGGAAATCTTTACTTGGTAGCATAATGCTAACAGATGCCAGAAGATGAATTGGGGACGAGAGGCTAAATAAACTTTTTTGCAATAAACCCAGCCTTTGAAATCAGCATGCAGACAGCAGAACTTATAGTGGCCCCTCACAGAATTCTTGTGTATGTACGCTTGTATTCTGCATCTCTGCATATAGCCCCCACCCTGTTCCATCAACCAGCATTACATGGGGCCTTCCAGGCTTCAAAAGTTATCCACTTTTAAAGCAATTCAGAAACACACAAAATATCAAGTTTTAAAGCATTACTACTCAATGTACATCAAACTTACTTATAAAACCTTCAGACGATGAGACTATATAAGATTCTGGGGAATTTGATTTTGTTTATGCTTATGAAGAGCACTTTCTTGAAATCTAAAACAAGTGTATTCTATTTCAACTTGAATACAACACTCCTTTCCTTCAGCATTGCTAGCAAACAACAATTTACTCTGCCATTCTTTCACATACTTGAAAACTGGTACTGTGTTCTATGTAATTTTCTTTTCCATAGGATGCGTATCTCAACCTTTCCAAATCTATATTTAGTGCTTAAATTGTTCTTCCATCTGAGGTACTACATTACTAGTTTCTGCATTAACATGTTTTGCTGTTGAGCCTGTGGGCAATACGGGGGTGGGGGGCTGTATCACTGGCTCTGTCCCCCAATTTGCGTGTTCGTTTACTTGCAGACTCACACTGATATACTGTACTTTTCTATGTATAAAATGACACCTTTTCCTTAAATAATTAGACAAAAAATTGAGGTTCATTTTATACACAGAAGGCAGTGACTTTTCCCTGCCTTTTGCGAAGCCACGGGGCTTAGCAAAAAGGAAGGGAAGGCTCCATTCCTTTTTGCTAAGCCCCATGGCTTCGCAAAAGGCAAGACAAAGCGGCGGTTAAAGGGAGCCCTTTGATCCCTGCTTTTCCCTTCCTTTTGCTAAACTCCGTGGCTTAGCAAAAGGAAGGGGAAAGCAGGGATCAAATTTTCTAATGTGGGATTAGAAAAGGGGGGGTGTCGTCTTATATACTGGTTCATCTTATAAACGGAAAAATATGGTAATCACAATACAAATTGTCCCTGCTAGGCAGGATAATATTTTCAGAGGGATTGAGTGTCTTGGACAATTCCCCTTCTCACTGAGCTTCAACACTGTGCCAGAGAGAACAGCTGAGTTCCAATACACACACCAACTTCTTTATCACTGTCTAGCTTTCTCCTATACTGTATGAGGCAGGGAAGTAGAAATAGCAACCACCACAATATAGGTTAACAGACAGATGATTTAAGACTGAATACAAGAGATAGATTCTAATACGACAGAAGCCCAAAACCTAACTATCTGAGCACACTGTAAACTTGCTGAAGATCACAAGAAGATGCATGGTATCCTTTCCTAGCAGTCAGATCAAAACATAGCCAAGAGATGAATTTGAAATGGGCTCTGAGTGAAGAATGCCAGTGTTTGAAGCTTTATACTTCATATTGCCTCATGATAATCAATGGGTTGTGATTACGGTATGTAATACTAATAAGTCTTCACCTAATTTGAATATTAGCTACTTCTGTGTTTACAAATTAATATATCAAAGGGTGTTAACGCTTGTTCACAAGCAGGTGTTTCAATTGAATAGTTTTTCATTCTCATCACGCTTTCTTCTCCTTCAAGAAAGATTCCCAGCTTTATGTACTGGTATGTTCTAACTGCATTTACTAATCCAGTAGCAACCTTCTATAGATACAAAACTTGCCTCTCAACCCAAAATGTTCTCTCTCTCTCTCTCTCACACACACACACACACACACACCCCTCTGGCCTAGAATTAGAGCACTGCTGAAAGAGTTGACATATTTTCTGTTAAAATTGGGACCCTCCTCCTCAGAATACAAAAACTGTACATGGAAAACAACAGCTTCCAGTAGAGGCACAAAGCTCTGCAAAACCATAAGTGAAATTAACACTTACCTCTGAGCATCAGGCTGAGAAATGGCATTAACTATGGCCTCCACAGCTGTATCAAAGAGTTCTGGATCATGCAGGGAAGTGAAAGCTGCCTGGATCAAGCTCTCACATTCCATCAGAGGAATTTCCAGTTGCACCCAGCTGGAGAAGCACTTCAGCACCTTCTGCTTAATAAAGCTAGGAGAGTCCTGCTGCTGCAGCAATTGCTCTAGAAGTGGGAACACGGAACTGCACTCCTGGGCCAAGACACTACGAACCTGCCCCTTACGGTATTGAGGCAAGCGGCTGGTTTGGAACTCCTCAGGCAGAACAGTCAGTAGCTCCAGGAGCGCAAGGCAACGTGCTCGCCCATCTATGTTAGAGTCCTCTGCCTGGAACATGCGTACCATGTCAGCAACAGCACATGGCCAGGCTTCTGGCATCATGTTTAATGCTAATGAAGCCAGTGCCACACAGAGCCGGGTCAACACAATCTTAGAACCGCTGGCAAAACAAGTTATGTGGCTGAAGAGCTGTGACTTGAGACTCTCATACTGATCAGCTGGGATGTCATTCCAGTAGCGGGAAATCTTGATGTGGAGGGCACTGGCCCCAAAGTACTGGATCTCAGGCACCTTGTCCATCTCAAGAAGCAACCAACTGAAGTGCCAGGCTTGTGGGGACACCTGAGCTTGCATCAGCCATTTCTGAGCCAAGTTCTTGTTTTCTATGTTGGGGTCATAATACAGTTGGTGGAGTGCCTGCAAGGCAGGAGACAGCAACTTATTCAGCATCTTCTGCATCATCACAGGCAAAGATAAAAAGAAAGCAAACTCAAATCTATGCAACCAGTACCTGCACCCTGAAACAGGAATCCTCTTCATATTATGGGTAGTTTATTTCAACGGTCCTACAGAACAGTGGTCCATGGATTGTTTTCACCACCCTAGCCACAAGGATGTTTTTGAAATAAATCTCCATTTGACAATGAAAATATAATCCCTGCTCCCAAGGAGACAAAGAGGGCAAATATTGTTGCAATGGGGATAACATTATAGGCCCCAGGTATTATTATAACTGATGACAACCCAGAAGTCATAGACTGACAAAATCTTTCTATTGCAAACAACAGGAAAAAACTCAGCATAAGGTAGGTGCTCCAGATCAGTCTGCATGAAAAAGAAGATACCTGGAATGGAAAGGGTTGATTAACATTTCACAGTGTGAGAGAGAAAATGTAGCAATTTTATATCCATCTTCAACAAAGGCTTAGAGTTCACATAAAAGCAGCAGCTTTGTGTTTTAGAACATGGCTTAGCACTAAATGGAGATAAAGCAGGGAGCAGGATGAAAACTTCATGCAGAGGCAATTTTTTTTATTTATTTATTAAATTTATACCCCGCCCATCTAGATCGAAGTCTACTCTGGGCAGCTAACATTAATAGATGAAAGTAAGGAAACCAGAAAGAGTGATGAACCCTTCCTCAGACCTAGCTGGTTTTAAGTTGGGTAACAAAATTTGAATAAACTCTCACCAGAAGAAAAACAGTTGGTTAAAAACATATTTTTCCATATACCACATCTCCATTTAGATATGAGGTTTTAAGTTTTAACCTGTAAACTGCCCAGAGTAGTGCTTGCACTAATGGGGCAGTATATAAATCAAATATATAGCTCTCTGGATAGCTGAGTGCTTTAAGCATCTGGCTGCAGAGCCAAAGATTGGCAGTTCAGTTCCCCACTGTGCCTCCTAGACAGACTGTGCAGTCATGGGCAAGCTGCCCAGTCCAAGGATGTCCCCAGAAGAAGAGAATAGTAAACCACTTATCTGTATTCTCTACCTAGAAAATCCTGTAAAAGGTTGCCATAAGTTAGAATTGATTTGACAGCATGCAATTTTTATTATTTATAAATAAAATAAAATAAATACCCAGCACAAGCAACAAAGGACGAGAGATATAGAGATTTCATGTATATATCTAGTTATACCCTAGATTCAATGCCACTTGCAGTACACACATTGAAAATTTTACCTTCAACCAAATCAAATGTTGCTTTCCTCTTTCTATTTATATTCAGCGTTCCGTGTCTAAATCACACTGGCCATGTGACCACGGAAAGATTGTCTTCGGACAAACGCTGGCTCTATGGCTTGAAGAGTGGGATGAGCGCCGCCCCCTAGAGTCGGACACGACTGGACAAAAATTGTCAAGGGGAACCTTTACCTTTACCTTTATATGTGTGAATAAGAGCCTAGTTTGCTTTGAATCTGGTTCTTTCCTGGGCAATTCCACTGCGAGTAAAACTGAGGAACCAAACTTAGACAGTTAGGTTTCTTCAGGCCCTCCGATACTCTTTCTCTGCATGATTAGTGTTCTTTCGTTGGGCTCTCCTTCAGAGAAGTTTTAAATGCTAATTTAAAAAAATTCAACAACAGTGGCATTGAGCCATGCAGGACAAAACTCTCTAGACAATGCAAAAAATTTAAAACAGAAATCACATAGCAGACCAACTTAGCAGACACAAACACAAGAACAACACAGAAAGACTAGAAACAAAACTGAAAATATATTTATGGAAGACTTTGACAAAGGAAAAGGTTTATTATGAAACCATGAAGCTCCATGTTTTACTTTTGAACTATACCTGTAAAGGATGCATTAGCTGATGACCAAAATATACTTTGTGCAACTATTGGCTGATTTTTCAACCCAAAACACATGCACAAAAACTAGTGAGGAAATAATAAGACTATTACCATTCCATTGATCTCTCACACGTTTAGTCATCCAACAGATAAAGCAGACAAACACATGCATGAATTTCTGCCTAAACTAATTATGTTCAAACCTCTGCCTGGTCATTTGCTCAGCTGGGACCTCAAATCTCCAAAGACTTTATCCAGCTAGTGCTTGAATTTACACAATGCCTGCCAAGCTAGCAATATGTGGGAGTCCTTGCCTCCATGCAGGAGAAGCAAGATCACTATGCAGCTCATGCAAAGAATCATTTCACTGCTGTTGAATTCTCAGACCAGTTTTATGGGTTCAGTATTTGAGGTCACTAACATGTTCCCTGTTGAGTTCTATGACTGAGGTGAAAGACACAAAAAACCAGGTTTGAAATGCTGTGCTATTCTTAGGTCAAGAGCAGATATAGTAAAGCATGTAATGATATATCTTAGACAAGCATGTAGCACAAGTTTGTTATGCAAGAGGTGTGGTCTGTACTAGCTGAATACATTGAATACTGAATAAATACAAATACTAATATTAAGCATACCGTATACAACGGGCAATATGGTATGCTAACATTTCAGCTGTTCAGGTTACTTACTTTTTCCCAGAGCACATAACCCAATACAGGTCAGATCTCTTAAAACTCTCAAGCAGATCACCCTAGTTATATCATAACTTGTTCAAGGAGCACAAAAGCTAACATATAATCTCAGATTTGGGGTCTTAAAAAGACAGTCAGTCAGCTGTAGTTGTTGCTGCCACATGCATCTCTTGTACAATGTTTATGCAGAACCAAAAAAATAACAGTTTGTCTCCTTGAAAGTACTGAATAAATAACAGCAAATGGAATCTTCAAACTTGCAGAGACTGAAGAGCAGGGTGGATAAAAACCAGTGATTAATTTAAAAATCAAATCATGATTTAAATCAGTGGTTCTTAACCTTTGTTACTTGGATGTTTTTGAACTTCAACTCCCAGAAACCCCAGCCAGCACAGTTGGTGGTGAAGGCTTCTGGGAGTTGCAGTCCAAAACTCCTGAGTAACCCAAGGTTAAGAACCAGTGATTTAAATCACTATTTAAATAAAAATATATTTTTAAATTTCAATCGTCAAAAAATCTAATTGTTAATTTAAATCATAATATAAATCAATATAAATCAAATCCACCCTGCCAAAGAGGAAGTGAAAGAATGAGATTTACAAGTAACAACAGCACAAGGACATGAGGACACTATGGATCACTACCTGCCTTTGCACACGTATTCTACAAACTGCATGAAAATGAGGCCCAATCATTCCAGACAAATTGCCACTTGCTCAACCAAGGGGAAGTGAATATGCACTTATTAGACCAACAACATGTTCAGGGCAGAGCCTCATAACCCACTGACCTACCCATAGCTGTCCCAATGGGAGGGACTGTGTTGCTACTGGCTCTGCGGTAATTGCCTCTCATCTTCTGCAAGCCATTCTGGGTTGTTTTCTTTTCATCCCTGCCCAAATGACCCAGCATCCTGATACTTCCAGTAGTACACCCAGTTGCCACCAAGCAACAGCAACCATGGCAACCAAAACATCATCTTTTTATTCAGGCAAAGTCCTAGACCTCTCCTCTATGGCCTGGCAGCTGCCAGCAATCCAAATAAAGGAAAGAAAGGTTGCTGCACAGTATCCTGGCTCTGCAGCACTGAATTCAGAGAGATACCATTAAAGTCACAGTCGTAGCACAATCCACCTTTCCTCTCAGGTTGAAAGATAGATCTTTTCCTCACACTCACTTGAACCAAATACTATCAAACCTGTATTCCCTAATCCTGTGCCAGCCAAGCTGTCAGACACATCAGTCTGCAGCAAGTGCAATCTCTGTGTTTAAAAACATTGCAGGTGCTGCCTTCTGCCTCTCCGTCTTGCCAAGTACATAGTTCTATCATTCCACAGGTAGCAAAGCACAGCACCGATTCTGTTAATCAATTCATATGTTCTCTTTAGCACCAACAGACCATCAAGGAGATCATGGGATAGGTAAGAAAACTGATGGAGCACCAAAAGAGCAGTTTACAATAATAGTTCTTGTTGCAAACAGAATGCCTTTATTCTCACTTGCTTTTTTGTAGGGATATAAGCTCCAGAGCTGAAATCACAACATTTTTGTTAATCTACAGATTCTTAATGAAAATATCTGTTTCAAACCACCCAAGACTCATTGCAAGGCAAAGTGCACTTGCCTTGGAAATTTTTATATTGGCAAGCCTTGCAAATGTGTTTTGAAGAAATAAAATAGACACAAAACGATGCAAGTTTTTTTTCAAAAATGTGAACAGTTAAACACACACACATATCACACATGTATAAAACCAAAATATATGCACAAAAGTTGTGTAATCCATAGGGATGTGTGTACAAAAATTATTCAACATTTAAAAATGTATGTATTAGGAAAAGCATACAAATACACATACACACATACACACAGAGAGAGAGAGAGAGTACAAACTTCTTTGTGGAAAGAAAAAATAGATCTTACAGCCTAATACAAACAAAAGAGGGGGCAAGAATGAGGAAAGGATTCTGAAAAATGGAACGGAATTAAGACGAACAGTTTTCACACTAGCAGATGACAGCTAGTGCACAAGGTTGTGCCAAATTATCTAGAGCTCTTGGAACCAAAGATGTTCTTTAAACATGTGGTCCTGGATCTGTCTCTTTACTGCTCTTAATAGCAGTACCTCTAAGTACTATTCACTCGTCATTGGAGAAGCAGCCGCCTTTAATCCTGTCATAATATGAGGCAGGGGAGACCTCCATTCAATCCATGTCATTGGCTACAGTACTGACTTTGAACTGGCAGAAAGACTACTTACACTGTGGTTCATAGAACAAGCCTGAAACAATAACTCAGAGATAAGGTGAGAAGACACATAAAAGCAAAAAATTATACTAGTGGCCATTAGCATTCTTCAGGAATTTAGGTTTTCATTTTAAATAAGATGCCTCTACTGGAAAAGGAAGCAGATCAGGAAAG